AGAACATGCCGGGGATGGACACGTAGGATAACATGCCGGGGCCGGGGATGGACACATAGGATGGAACATAGGATGCCGGGGATGGACACATAGGATAACATGCCGGGGATGGACACGTAGGATAACATGCCGGGGATGGACACATAGGATAACATGCCCTAGGGGGATGGACACATAGGATAACATGCCGGGGATGGACACATAGGATAACATGCCGGGGATGGACACATAGGATAACATGCCGGGGATGGACACATAGGATAACATGCCGGGGATGGACACATAGGATAAACACGCCGGGGATGCGGGGATGGACACGTAGGATAACACGCCGGGGATGGACACGTAGGATAACACGCTGGGGGGTTTACTGGCTGTAGAAAAAAATGTCAAAAGCCAAAAACAGCCGCTGTAAAAATGCGCTGTAAACAGCCGCAGTAAAAAAGTGTGCATGAGGGCTTAGAAGGACAGCAGTGATACATTGTTCCGCCTCGTGTCAGATCTCTCGGATTCATTACCATCCGCCGTCACTCAATCTTCCCGGTAACGTGCCCCTCCCCCCCCCCTCCTGTCATCTCTCATTTCCAATAACTGATTGTATTTATTTGTGTCTGATACAGCAAAGTTCAGCGCGCTCGGCGAGGGAGCGCAATGTTTGATTTCCATTACAAGTCACAGATGAGGGTAATGAAAGCCTTTTGTTCCGCCGTGGCTTTTGCACGCACGGAGCATTGAAGTCGATACGGAGACCCTACAGGGGCGTAATTAAAGTGACACTCCGGAAAAATAAGCCGGCTGGGCTGTATTTATAGCGCGTGTTTCATGAGTCAGATATTCTCCGCAGGACTCTTGTCGGGAATTCAAAGCGCCTGTGCTGACATGAAAAGTGACAAGCATGCGCTCTGGGCCTACCAACGGCTCTCTTCATCTTACCAAGCTGAGCAGGAGACCCCCAATCTGCAGATGGCAGCTTTTGGGGGTCTATTATTTACCCCCCACCCCCCTAATCTGTAAATCCTGCATCCATCAATGCAATATGTACACTCTGTTAGGAAGGCATTGAGAATGGGACTGTAAAAGTTCAGATCTCAGCAGGGGCAGACTGACAACTCATGGGGCCCCCGGGCAATAGGGGATCATGGGGCCCCTGTGTCTCTTGCCCAAACTCAAAAAAGCCTATGAAAAAGGTACCAGGGGCATCTCATGGGGCCCCCTACTGACTCCAGGCCCTCGGGCAGTGCCCGAGTTTCCAAATGGTCAGTCCGCCCCTGGATCTCAGAGATGGGAGTCAGCAGGGCTTTTTTTTCAGCGGGAACGCGGGGGGAACGCAGTTCTGGCACCTCCAACACTGAATGCATGTAAGGAGTGCTGGGGTGTACTGGAGGGTCTATTGATGCTGGATGCTGGGGGATCTATTGTTGCTGGAGGGGGTCTTTTCTCTTTTTTGCTGGAAGGTCTATTGTTGCTGATGTGGGATCTATTGTTGCTGGCGGGGTCTATTCTATTTTTTGCTGGGAGGTCTATTGTTGCTGGTGGGGGATCTGTTGTTGCTGGAGGGGGTCTTTTCTCTTTTTTGCTGGAAGGTCTATTGTTGCTGATGGGTGATCTATTGTTGCTGATGGGTGATCTATTGTTGCTGGAGGGGTGTATTTCTATTTTTTGCTGGGAGGTCTATTGTTGCGAACGGGGGATCTATTGTTGCGGACGGGAGTATTTTCTATTTTTGCTGGGAGGTCTATTGTTGCTGATGGGGGATTTATTGTTGCTGTGGGTGGGTCTTATATTGCTGGGGGAGAGCAATTGTTACTGAGAGGGATCTGCTGTTGAGGACGAGCTCTATTGTTGCTGAATGCCAGGGGACTGATGCTGGGGAATCTGTTGTTGCAGCCGGGGATCTATTGTTGTTTGGGGGGAGGGATTTTGTTGCAGGTGCTCCATTGTTGCTGGGGAAATCTATTATTGCTGGAGGGGGTCTATTCTCTTTTTGCTGGGGGTCTATTTTTGCTGATGGGGGATTTATTGTTGATGTGGATGGGTCTTATAATTCTGGGTGAGAGCAATTGTTAATGAGAGGGATCTACTGTTGAGGACAAGGTCTTGTTGCTGAATGCCAGGGGATCTACTGATGTTGGGAGATCTGTTGTTGCAGCCGGGAATCTATTGTTGCTGGGGGGAGGGATTTTGTTGCAGATGATCCACTGTTGCTGGGGAAATCTATTGTCACTGGGGTTCTATTGTTGCTGGAGGGGGTCTATTCTCTTTTTGATGGGAGGTCTATTTTTGCTGATGGGGGATTTATTGTTGCTGTGGGTTGGTCTTATAATGCTGGGGGAGAGCAATTGTTACTGAGAGGGATCTACTGTTGAGAACGAGTTCTATTGTTGCTGAATGCCAGGGGATCTACTGATGTTGGGAGATCTGTTGTTGCAGCCGGTGATCTATTGTTGCTGGGGGGAAGAATTTTGTTGCAGGTGATCCACTGTTGCTGCGGAAATCTATTGTCACTGGGGGGGGTCTATTGTTGCTGGAGGGGGCCTATTTTATTTTTTGTTGGGAGGTCTATTGTTGCTGATGGGGGTTTTATTGTTGCTGTGGATGGGTCTTATAATGCTGGGTGAGAACAATTGTTACTGAGAGGGCTCTACTGTCGAGGACAAGGTCTATTTTTGCTGAATGCCAGGGGATCTACTGATGCTGATCTGTTGTTTCAGTCAGGGATCTATTGTTGCTGGGGGAGTTGTTGCAGGTGATCCATTGTTGCTGGGCAAATCTATTGTCATGGGGAGAGGGGGTCTATTGTTGCTGGCTGTAGGAGATCTATTTTACTGTTTTTCCATACAAATTACTTAGCACCACAAAATGATACTTGGCTTTGTATACTCTAAAAGGGGCGGTACTAGGAGGTGGGTAGGTGGTGAAAACAAGGGATGGTGCTTGGAGGTGGGTCGGGGGTCGATGAGGGATGGTGCTTGGAGGTCGGTCGGGGGTGGAGACAAGGGATGGTGCTTGGAGGTGGGTCGGGGGTGGAGACAAGGGATGGTGCTTGAGGTGGGTCGGTCGGGGGTGGAGACAAGGGATGGTGCTTGGGGGTGGGTCGGGGGTGGAGACAAGGGATGGTGCTTCGAGGTGGGTTAGGGGTGGAGACAAGGGATGGTGCTTGGAGGGTCGGTCGGGGGTGGAGACAAGGGATGGTGCTTGGAGGTGGGTCAGGGGTGAGACAAGGGATGGTGCTTGGAGGTGGGTCGGGGGTGGAGTCAAGGGATGGTGCTTGGAGGTGGGTAGGTGGTGAAACCAAGGGATGGGGCTTGGAGGTGGGTAGGTGGTGAAACCAAGGGATGGGGCTTGGAGGTGGGTAGGTGGTGAAACCAAGGGATGGTGCTTGGAGGTGGGTAGGTGGTGAAACCAAGGGATGGTGCTTGGAGGTGGGTCGGGGGTGGAGACAAGGGATGTTGCTTGGAGGTGGGTAGGTGGTGAAACCTAGGGATGGTGCTTGGAGGTGGGTCGGGGGTGGAGACAAGGTATGGTGCTTGGAGGTGGGTCGGGGGCGGAGACAAGGGGTGACTCGGAAAGGGTGAGTTCCAGCACCTATTCTCTAAGAAAAAAAGCCCTGGAAGTCAGAATTTGCATAACAAGCCCCTCCCACTAAACAATTATGTGGAGGCACCACTATCACCACTTAAAGGAATATGTGTATTAAGAGAAGCATGGAGGCTGCCAACATGTATCTCTCTTTCACACACAATATTAATGAGCAAACACTGCACACTGTGAGCTTCTCACAATGTGCATTGGAAGCTGCAGCAAGTCAGGTAGAGCTCCATCTCAATTCCTAGCCATCAAGCATCATCTAGCTCTTTCCTCCCTAGCCTGACTGTCCCTGACCCACCCCTTCCATTCACTGGATTTCAGTTCTGTCAATTATGGAGATTCCGCTTCACACGTGGGTGTTACCTAGAGCAGTCTCCATGCAAATGTCCATTGCATAGAGCAGCACAGAGGCCCAGTGATGACATCACTGAGTCTACATTAAAGCGGAGTTCCACTCACGCTGTTAAAAAATAAAAGTCAGCAGCTACAAAAACGGTAGCTGCTGACTTTTAAAAAAACAGCCACTTACCTGTCCCTCGGTCCCATGTTGTGTCCCCCGCAGCCCGTTTCACCGGCCGTCCTGTGTTCCAGGAGGCCGACATCTTCAGTGTGGGCTTGCGGCTCCACAGTCGGGTACCCACTGAGCATGTGCGAGAAGCGCTGCGCTTCATGAATGGCCCCGTAGTCTTCTGGGACCTGTCACGTATCCCAAAAGACTACAGGGAGGGAGGGGGGAGGACACCTTCTGTGACCGGAAATGGGTACCCGACCCCCAAAAGGTGCCAATCCTTAATGGGGGAGCAGTCCTTAAAGCAGAACTTCCCCTTTTGGGTGGAGCTCCTCTTTAAGGTATGTAATGATAATGAAAAGGTTTTATTTTAAAAAAAAATGAATTAGTATGCTGGTAAAGGAGGGAGGAAGGTAAAAGGGAAGGCAAAATTAAAGGGTATAAAGGGTGACTCCACTTTTGTTGGGAAAAATAGCAAATTAAAAAAAAAATAAATATAGAATATACAATGGCGACACAAATCAGTTGAGCGTGGAATATTTAGTAGCCAGGAAATGTCCCGGATGGACTTATTACACAGGTGACAACCTATCACGGGACCACGCTTGGAGTCACTGAGCACCTGAGAGCGACCCATTCTTTCACCAATGTTTGTAGAAGCAGTCTGCATGCCTAGGGGCTTGATTGTATACACCTGTGTCCATGGAGGGGATTGGAACACCTGAATCACATGATTTGGAAGGCGGGGCCAATAATATAGGCAATATAGTGTGTACATATATATATATATGAGATTGTGGAACTCTCTCCTGCTTTTTTCTGCAGGACAACCTTCTATTAGCAGATAATAAAGATCTTTACGATCCTAGCATGAAAATGGTTATTTGTGGTTCAGTCTCCTCACCTCCTTCTTCTCTTCTTCTTCTCCTCCTGTCTCTTCTTCATCCACGTACCGGAAAGAGTCCCGTTTCCCCCCTGGCCTTGCTGACCTCTGACCTTTGTATGGAGCGGACGCCATCTTCAATCTCCTTTCCTTGCACAGGACTCTCTCCAGGAGCGCCGAGATCTCCGTCCTCTCGATTGACCCAAGGAGCACCATGCATTCTACAAGACAAGAAATATATTACAGATGGCACACTGCGTTGGATCAGGGGGCCATCAAATGTTTGGGGGCTCCTTGCAACCTATTCAGACTCCTTTAGCCTTGATCGGGGCGGATTGACAACTCATGGGGCAATAGGGGATGATGGGGCCCCTGTGTCCTTGCCCACACTCAAAGCACACCCGAAAAATCCTATAAAAAGGTACCAGGGGCATTTCATGGGGCCTCCTACTGACCCCGGGCCCTCAGGCAGTGTCCGAGTGCTCAAATAGTCAGTCCGCCCCTGGCCTTGATAAATCTTTTTGGGTTGCTCGCTTTAGCTTTCTATTGTCTTCTCAATGTATGAACACGTACCCTTGGTCCATCAAAGCTCTTAGATTGTAAGCTCTCATGGGCAGGGACCTCCTGACTATCTTCAAAGTTACAGGTGTGAAAATGTGGACTAGACTCCCCCAGGAATGAGTTCTTGGATGTGTACGGAGGAGCACCTGGTACAAATGTCCATCTCACTTGAAGGACTTTTCAAAACATTTGATAGTTAAGAGCATCAGATATAGCCAATGCGTTTCAGGGGAAAGCCTCCCCCGTCTTCAGGCCTTGAGCAATTAAATTCACGATAGAATACAGAATGCAAGGGAACTATGTCAAGGCCACCTCCTGACGGCACTAACCACAACCCACTGCCTTTAGTGCCATCAGGAGACATCAGACTTCATCAAGCCTTAACACAGGTCCCTCAGGGCTCATTCACACTAGATTTGGTCTCTTCAGAGAGCATTGAGCAGGCGGTGGAGAGGTGCAGTATCACCTCCATACCACCAGCCTTGCACTAGTGTGCACAGGGGTGCAGGAACCTTGCATGGGATCGTGTTCAGAGGGTGCTATGTCCCAGCCAATGTTTAAAAGGGGTAGCAGTTGGGGGGCAGTAAGTGCAGGGCTTAACTGCAGGGTTTTACCACCCCTAACTGCTAGTATGACCAAACCCTAAGGCATTCTGTTGTGATTTTATTAACATTGGCCATTTAGGAAGAAGAAAGGGGAGGCTTTTTCTCTGAAAAACACATTGACTGTATCTGATGCTCTTAACCAGGAGTCTACAAACTTTCTAAACAAAGGGCCTTCAGACTTTAGGGAGGCCGGACTGTGGCTGGTGGGAGTAGAAAATTACCAAAGCTTATTGGGAGTAAACAGTGCCTCAGGCTTGGTGGTTAGTGGGAGTAAAAAAAAAAATACATGGTGCCTGCGGTCAGTAGCAAGAAGATTGGTGCACCATCATTGGTGTCACTGAGAAGAATAGTGCCCTATCATTGGTGTCACTAAGAAGAATAGTGCCCTATCATTGGGGTCACTGAGAAGAATAGTGCCCCATCATTGGTGTCAGTGGGAGGAATAGTGCCCCATCATTGGTATCAGTGGGAGGAATAGTGCCCCATCATTGGTATCAGTGGGAGGAATAGTGTCCCATCATTGGTGTCACTGGGGGGAATAATGCCTCATCATTAGTATTAGTGGGAGGAATAGTGCCCCATCATTGGTATTAGTGGAGATATAGAGCCCTATCACTGGTGTCACTGGAAGGAATAATGCCCCATCATTGGTGTCATTAAGAGGAATAGTGCCCCATCATTGGTATTAATGACAGGAATAGTGCCCTATTGCATGTATCAGTGGGAGGAACGGTGTCCCATCATTGGTGTCAGTGGGAGGAATAGTGTCCCATCATTGGTATCAGTGGGAGGAATAGTGTCCCATCATTGGTATCAGTGGGAGGAATAGTGCCCCATCATTGGTGTCAGTGGGAGGAATAGTGCCCCATCATTGGTATCAGTAGCAGGAATAGTGTCCCATCATTGGTATCAGTAGCAGGAATAGTGTCCCATCATTAGTATCAGTGGGAGGAATAGTGCCCCATCATTAGTATCAGTGGGAGGAATAGTGCCCCATCATTGGTATCAGTGGGAGGAAAAATGCCCCATCATTGGTGTCGCTAGGAGGAATAATGCCCCATCATTGGTGTCACTAGGAGGAATAATGCCCCATCATTGGTGTCACTAGGAGGAATAATGCCCCATCATTGGTGTCACTAGGAGGAATAATGCCCCATCATTGGTGTCGCTAGGAGGAATAAGGCCCCATTGTAGGTATCAGTTGGGGGAAGGACGCCCCATTATTGAGGTCAGCCAGAGGAATGGTACCCCATCATTCATGTCAGTTAGAGGAATTATTATTAGACCACTGCTCTTAATATGAAATGTTTTAAAAAGCCCTTTAAATGACATGAACGTTTGTATCAGGTGCTCCTCCAGGGGTGCATTTACCACAAGGTAAACAAGGCATTTGCCTAGGGTGGCATTTTTTAGGGGGGCAGCAGCATTTTTCAGGGGGGCAGTGCCGCCCCCCGAAAGAAGGGATGGAAGAAGGGACACACGCAGCATGGGGATCTGAGATAGGCTGTGGACTGCTTGCTGCCCGATTCTTGTTCCCAGGGATGTCCGGAGCTGTGAAGGTGAGTGTCTTCTCTCTCACTGGGGTGGGGGGGGTTGCCAGTGTATGGGGTGCGGTGGTAGTGGAAGACTCTCTCAGGTGGGGCTGGGGGGCTGGAGTGTTGTTGGTCAATATCAATCACTCTCCGTGGTGGAGGGGGGTGTTGGTCGGTGTCAGGGTATCTCCAATGGGGGGGGGGGGGGGGGGCAATTTTTGTGCTGCCTAGGGCGGCACGAAATCTAAATATACCACTGTGCTCCTCTATACACATCCAAGAAGAAACCGTCTGGTGAGCGCTTCCATTGTCGCTCTCAGGGAAGTAGCAGCGTACAACCAGAACCAGGTCCACCCATGTTGTATTTTCATCCCAGATCTGCTTCTTTGAAGGAAAATTCAGCTGACGGTAGATCTTTCAGAAACAATTTTCACTTCTAGGGCTGTCATGCACACATCAGGCATCCAGAGCTTCTTCTGGCCAGCTCAGTAAATTATTACAAAGAGGTGGATGCAATCCTACATGAGCAAGATATAACTGGATGTCGGCATTCATAGATAATAACATCAGAGATTGATGATCCAGGGAATATCTGATTGCCTTCTGGGGGAGGGAGGGAAGGAAGGGATATCCCCCCCCCCCCCCCCCCCCCCGTTGGAGCAAATCGGATCACGCTTTATTGTTTCTTTCTGCCTTCCTCTGGATCCGCTGTGGGTAAAGGATTCTGTATATAGAGGTTTTCTATTTTTTTTTTTCCTATAGTGGAACTATGGGCGGCACAGTGGCTTAGTGGTTAGCACTTCTGCCTTGCAGTAATTGGGTCATGGGTTCAATTCCCAACCATGGTGCCGTTTGCATGGGTTTCCTCTGGGTACTCCGGTTTCCTCCCACACTCCAAAGACAGACATGCTGATAGGTTAATTGGCTCCTGTCTAAATTGTTCTAGTTTCATCCCTGGCCATGTGGGATCTCCTGCATGGTAGGGGTTGGGGAAAGTCCTGGCAACCTACCCTGTAGAAATAATTGCTTAGAGAATTCATTCGAAAAAGTTGCTTATGAGCACGGGCGGACTGACCATTTGGAAAACTGCCCGAGGGCCCGGGGTCAGTAGGGGGCCCCAAGAGATGACCCTGGTACATTTTCATAGGCTTTTTTGAGTTTGGGCAAGGACACAGGGGCCTCATGATCCCCTATTGCCCGGGGCCCAATGAGTTGTCAGTCTGCCCCTGCTTACGAGTGACAGTCCATGCAATCGCCAAGGGTTGGATACAACTGGATAGATCAATAGTGGAACTAGGTGGACTTGTGAGTTCCTTCAACCATTTATTGTGTAAAGCGCTGAACAAACTGTCGGCACTTTATAAATCCTGTATAATAATTATATGAATGTCCGTGGTTATGCAGTGATTGCTCTGCAGGAACATTTTGCAAACTCCAGATTGCTACCTCGTGTCTACATGTACTTTTTGGCTTCTATAAATAAACCAGAAAGGTCAATATTTCTCGGTTTATACCAAGGGAATCGTTGTAACCATTGCAGCTCAGGCAACTCTTGTGAAACCGTTTGCTACAGAGAACCAGCACCAGGGGAATCTATGGTTGCCTTCAAGTTTTTAAGGGTCAGGCCAGCCAAAAATGATGCTTTAGCTGTAGGTGGAACATGGTGAGCTGAGTCATTCCCTGGCTTTGTTCACATCTTAGATACTTCAACAGTGAAGTCTCCCCGTCATAATTCCCAGCTCTGCTCCTGTCCACCTGGGAGTTTTTGGGTTTCCTCACCCAACTTTGTGTCTCCTAAACACTCTTGTAACATTTTCCCTCATATCAAATGAATAGAAATTGGCACAATAGGTGTACAGATCTAAGAACGTAGCATAGAGATGGTGGGAACCCCTCATAATGGACCTGGGAACTCAGTACGGGGATGGTGGGAATCCCGCATTATGGTCACTGGAGATGTAAAGACCTGGGAACTCAACACAGGCACATGGTGGGAACCCCTCATAATAGGCACAGAAGATTTGCAGACCTGGGAACTTAGTACGGGGATGGTGGAAATTCCTCATTATGGTCACTGGAGATGTAAAGACCTGGGAACTCAACACAGGCACATTGTGGGAACCCCTCATAATGGGTACAGAAGATGTGCTGATTGGGAAATTTAGAGCAAGGATAACAGGAACCCCTCATAATGGGCACAGAAGGTGTGTTGACCCAAGAACTTAGTGTAGGGATTGTGGGTCCCATCATAATGAGTAGAGCAGATGTGCAGGCATAGGAACTCAGCACAGGGATAGTGGGAGCCCCTCATAATGGGCACAGAAGGTGTGCAGACCCATGAACACAGCTTAGGGATGGTGGGAACTCCTCATAATGGGCACAGCAGATGTGCAGATACAAGACGTGAGCACAGGGATAGTGGGAGACCCTCATAATGGACACAGCAGGTCTGCTGACCCAAAAACTCAGAACAGGGATCATGGAAACCCCTCATAATGGGTACAGCAGATGTGTAGACCCTGCAACTCAGCGCAGGAAGGGATGATGGGAGCCACTCATAATATAGACACAGCAGGTGTGTAAATGCAGGAACTGAGCACAGGGATGGTAGGAAACCCGTATAATGAGCACAGTAGGGACCAAGGTCCTCAGCACAGGAATGGTGGAAACTCCTTGTAATAGACATGGGAGACATGTAGACTCGGGAACTTAGCACAGGGACGATGGGAGACCCTCATAATGGGCACAGCAGGAGTACAGACCCAGGAACTCAGTACAAGGATGGTTTGAATCCCTCAAAAAGGGCACAGCAGGTGTACAGCCCGGGAACTCAGTACAAGGATGGTGTGAACCCCTCATAATGAGCACAGCAGATGTACAGACCTGGGAACTCAGCACAGGGATGGTGAAAAACCCTCATAATGGGCACAGAAGGTGTACCGACTCGGGAACTCAGCATGGGGATGGAGGGAACCCCTCATAATGGGCACAGCTGGTGTACAGACCTGGAAATTCAGCACAGGGATGGAGGAAGACCCTTATAATGGGCACAACAGCTGTACAGACCCAGGAACTCAGTACAGGGATGGTGGGGGGCTCATAATGGGCACAGCAGTTCTGCAGACCAAGGAACTCTAGTTCCATAGGTGTAGAAAAAACAACTATAGGTGGTTTAACCAAAATCTATCAAACACGTAAATATCACTTTTGGGTGGGCTGAACCTTCATAAACTGTGGACACATATGTTCGGTTGTCTTACCTGCTGACTCCACTAGAGGGAGTGTTTTATGTGTGCATCTCCGCAGTACATTCATCAGGTCTCTATAGGTGCAGTGAGAAGATACATAGCGCACATCCCCCACCATAATGTCTTCTACAAAAATGTTGTATTTACTGTAGAAAAAAAAAAACAGGAACAGACTATTTACATGAAGGAAGATCTTTCTGACCAAGCCAAGGGACAACTGTCACTACCTAGCTCTCAGTCTTGGATGTTTTTTTCTGGTGCCAACACACTGTGTGGGTCATGTGACTTATGGCACTGAAACATCATTGCAACCAAACTAGTCGATTTGCAGAAGCTAGAAAAACAAGCGTACCTTTACCCGATGCCATAAAGAGACCCAGTTACCAGACCAATAGGGGGCTATTTACTAAAACTGGAGAGTGCAAAATCTGGTGCAGCTCTGCATAGAAACCAATCAGCTTCCAGGTTTTATTGTCAAAGCTTAATTGGACAAGCTGAAATTGGAAGTTGATTGGCTCCCATGCACAGCTGCACCAGAGTTAGCACTCTCCAATTTTAGTAAATAACCCCCCATAATGTCAAAATAATAATAATCCCATAAGAATTTGTGTGCATTGACATATTGTAGGCATGCTATTTACCTGCAAAACCCTTCCATATTAAGGTTGTGTTAGCCATCTTCTTAGTGGGGGCCCCCTAACCCCTAGGCTCCTTAGCAACCCTTAGGTTGGATCAGTCATTGAGGGGTCTCACGGTAAATCCCCTCCAACCTGTACCCCTCTTCTCTCAGCATCCAATGTGCCTGTACTCCCCCTCCACTCACAACCTACTGTACCTGAACCGCCTTTCTTTCGGCACCCACCATGCTTGCAGCCCCTTTCCTTCAGCACCCACCATGCCTGCAACCCCTTTCCTTCAGCACCCCCCTGCCAGCAACCCCCTTCCTTCAGCACCCACCATGCCTGCAACCCCCTTCCTTCAGCACCCACCATGCCTGCAACCCCCCTTCCTTCAGCACCCACCATGCCTGCAACCCCCTTCCTTCCGCACCCACCATGCCCAACCCCCTTCCTTCAGCACCCACCATGCCTGCAACCCCCTTCCTTCAGCACCCACCATGCCTGCAACCCCCTTCCTTGCACCCACCATGCCTGCAACCCCCTTCCTTCAGCACCCACCATGCCTGCAACCCCCCTTCCTTCAGCACCCACCATGCCTGCAACCCTCCTTCCTTCAGCACCCACCATGCCTGCAACCCCCTTCCTTCAGCACCCACCATGCCTGCAACCCCCTTCCTTCAGCAACCACCATGCCTGCAACCCCCTTCCTTCAGCACCCACCATGCCTGCAACCCATTTCCTTCAGCACCCACCCTGCCTGCAGCCCCTTTCCTTTAGCACCCACCATGCCCGTAGCCCCTTTCCTTCAGAACCCACCATGCCTGCAGCCCCTTTCCTTCAGCACCAATCATGCCTGCAGCCCCCTTCTTTTAGCACTCAGCATGCCTGTAACCCCCTTCTCACACCACCCAACATGTCTGAACTCCATCTTGCACCACTGCATCTGTATCCCACCTCTCACCACTTCACCTGTCCATGCTTCCCACAATCTCACCTACACATCTACATCACACTTCTCTCTTTCACCACTGCACCGTGCATGCCCCAATGCCCCCACCAGCTCTTACCACTGCACCCGTGCATGCCCCAATGCCCCACCAGCTCTTACCACTGCACCCATGCATGCCCCAATGCCCCACCAGCTCTTACCACTGCACCCGTGCATGCCCCAATGCCCCCACCAGCTCTCACCACTGCACCCATGCATGCCCCAATGCCCCCACCAGCTCTCACCACTGCACCCATGCATGCCCCAATGCCCCCACCAGCTCTCACCAGTGCACTGCAACAGCCTCCCTACCCACATCAATTGCCTACAGCCCCCCTCACTGCTCTCACATGGTGACTGCATACTACCTTTCAGCTCTCATCACAAAGCCTGCACCCCCAACCTCCCTTCAGGACCTTCTCTTTCCAACTGACCCCAATGCTTCAACCCACCTCCACATTTCCCACCTGTGGCCCCCTTCCCACACCAAGCCTACACCCTTCTTCCTGTACCTCCCTTTCTCACAACTGTATCTGCAACTCTTTGCTTGCACCAAGCACATGCCACCCAAATCTCCCCAACATACCTGCACCATCACTGCCACTGCCTCACCCACAGACCCATTTCTCACCCCATAGTTGCACAAAGCACCCCAAAACACTGATGGCTTCAAATCCCCTTCTCACTTCCATGGCTGCACCCACCACCATTCTTGTACCCCCTCTCACTCAGCCTGTGCAAACTTCTCCATACTTCCATTCCATCTCCTTCCTCTGGCTAGAACCTCAAACCTGCAGAAGTGTACCCCCATTTGACAGCTAGTGCCCCTCATTCTCTCTTCCAGCTCTGAGCTCTATGCCTGCAACTGCGAACCTCCCCATGCTCTTAGCACCCAACCTTGGTTTCCTCTGGATACGCCAGTTTCCTCCCACACTCCAAAGACATGGTAGGTTACTTGGTTCCTGTCTAAATTGTCCCTAGTATGTGTATGTATGAATGTAAGTTAGGGACCTTAGACTGTACACCCCTTGAGGGTTAGGGACTGAGGTAAATGATTACGATATATGTAAAACACTTCATAACTTGATGGTGCTATATAAGAACCTGTAATCAAAAAATAAACACATTTTTTGCTGTTCTAAATAAAATACTAAACAAAATACCACACCCTCATCACCAAAGATCCCTATTCAGCTACCTCTGACAAATGAGCACAACACATTTCACAGTTTTGCATTCTTTGACCTTTGACTTTGTGATGGTAATGAGGTCTGATGACCTCATACAGAGCAGGAGAAGGGGTAAGTCATGCTGTGCACAGTGCTGTTCTCATTTCTCCAAAATGTGCAAGTCTGTGACAAAACATGTAGATTTAAATCTGATATCTATCCTGTAGAAAATGCCAACAATGCCAAAAGCCACAGACACGACTAAAAATCCCACATGGAAGAAAAATATATTTTAAATATATTTTAAAAACATTCTTCCCAAATATATTGACATATATTTGAAATACTAAAATTTTGGCCGTATTCAATACATTTCAATAAATATATTATATATATATATATATATATATATATATATATATATATATATACACACACACTGTATGTTGAAATGCGGTTTTTATATATTACAAAATATATGAAAAATATTTTTAAAAATACATTTTCAAGTATACAGAATGTCTTTAAAATACATTTAATCTGAATTTTTGGAATATATATATATATATATATATAAACACTGTATGTTGAAATGTGTTTTTTTATATACTGTATTATAAAATATATTTTTTTAACATATAAAAAAGTAATTTTAACATATATTTTTACATATATTTGTAAATGCATTTCAAAAATGTAGATTATAGGTATTTTTAAAGACATACAGTATATTTGATAATGTATTTTTAAAAATATTTTTCATATATTTCATAATATATAAAAACCGCATTTCAACATACAGTATATCAGTATATATATATATATATATATATATATATATATATATATATATATATAATTATTATTATTTTTTTAAATGTATCGAATACGGCCAAAATTGTAGTATTTCAAATATATGTCAATATATTTTGGCAGAACATTTTTAAAATATATTTAAAATATATTTTTCTTTCATGTGGGAATCCTCACAGTAGAACGCAGATCAGCTGGAGACATGAAGGCCATCGTAAATCCCATTTAGGCATTTCAGGATCTGCACAGCCTGTTAATCAGCCCCTTCACACATGGCAAAAACAGTGCTTAGTAGGCTGAAAAGCCAAATACATTTAATACATCCTATTGTACATAGTCTGGAGGAATACACATCTGCCAGATTGGAGTTAGTGACCTATACAAACAGACATACAGTCTTTAAAGACACTTGCTGCAGCTGCGTACGTCGTCCGCTCACTGATACGCGACCCTTGTACAGCCATTGCACAGAGCAGCCCGCTCCTCCTCTTCTTGGGTTCCTCACCAGTGCTCCTGGTTCCTCTTGCCTTCCCCAGACATGTCATTCCCTGCTTATGTGATTGGCTCACTGATTTTCCCAGAAGTCGGCACTAAGATACAATCAGATTTTGGGCATCCCCTGCAACAAAAATGATTTTCCCAGAAGTCTGCACTAAGATACAATCAGATTTTGGGCATCCCCTGCAAAAAAAATGTAATTTTTTTGTGAGATACTCCCGAAGGGAAACCACGTCTAAAGGGATGCAGACCCTGCCACTTTCCTCACTAGAACCCTGAAAGTGCAGCAGCTTATTGATAATTATAAAGTCACTCCCATTCAGGATATGATTATAACTTTTTTTTTCTTTTAATGGTTGAACTGGATGGAATTTTGTCTTTTTTCAGCCAGACTAACTATGTAACTATGTAGCAGCGCCGCCGCTTTCAGGCACGGTGCTACATCAAAATTGGGCTCAGTAAAGTATTTAGGGGGGATGGGGGGGCACCTAAAGGTATTTTACCTTAATGCAAGAATGCATTTAGGTAAAAAACCTTTAGCCTTCACCAGGGGCATCCCTAGGGTTGATGTTAACCGGTGCGGTAACACTTGCTGACACCCCCTCCGACAATCCCCGCAGGATGGATCGAATCTGCGGATTGAGCATAATGGATCGGAGTCCGATCCATTATCCTCCCCAATCGGCAGATCCGATCCATCCTGCAGGGATCGCTTTCAACCTATACGGGGTTAACTGATCTCTCCATGAAAAGGTAGCATAATGGATCGGAATCCGATCCATTATGCTCGATCTGCAGATCCGATCCATCCTGCAGGGATCGTCGGCTTGCTTTAAAACTTACCATTTCGTGGAGTTCGTGGAGAGATCAGTTAACCTCGTATAGGTTGCAAGCCGACGATCCCCGCAGGATGGATCAGATCTGCAGACTCCAATCCATTATGTTCCATCCGCAGATCCGATCCATACTGCGGGGATCGTTGGCTTGCTTTAAAACTTGCCTTTTCGTGGAGTGGGTTCAGTGTCACCCGGTGTGGCGCGCACCCCCCGCACCTGCTT